TACATGCTGGCAATGAATGAGTTAAAACTGAACTCGAGCTATTCACCATCTATCAGACATTTGACACACAAAGCATCAAGTGGTGTATGCCTATTCAGAACTGATTTTAAAAATGTATATATCTCAAGTTAAGCTATGTTTGTGTCAAAACAGACAAAGTATTGTAAAGCTTGAGGTACTCTGGACAGTGTTTTTTTTATTTTATTTTCTTCTTTTTCAATTCACTACTCCCTATAATTGAAAGTATGTGGTTTTATGTAGGAAAATGTTAGAGGGTTTTAGTGCTAGGAATCTTTTTTCAGGATTATATCTATCCGAATCAGAACTGGAACAGACTTGTTAATCTCCAGAACACAGCGCTGTATGCTATCTCTGGGTCTCTTCATCTAAAATAGGAGCAGTTTATCCTCTGCAGATTGCAAGCCTCCCCTCATCATATCTTTCCTGCTAATCTTTTGCTCCTGGAGAGAAGGAAGCGTACAGAATGATTTGGGTTTTTGCTGCCAGGAGATTCAGGATGTCTGACTGGGAGCAGATGCAGCAGTGAAGAGACAGAGACGCGTTTGCAGGAAGAGATGCTGGCAAAAGCTCTGCACTAGTGGAAGGAAAACTTGGAACAGGACAGAAACAGGGTTTTTAGGATTACAGAATGAGAGAAAAATTATGACAGGAGAGATAGGAAGAGACATTTAAGAGAGGGATATGAATGGGAAAGAAGAGAAATCAATATCTACAGAGAACGGTATTATTATATATACATTTACTGTCTGGCTGAACTTACCAATGACATCTGCACAATCTAGTGCAGCTAAACTAGACTTAAAAAATTTAATTGTGATATTTTTAAGATCAATGTCACTAATAAATAAAATTATAATAAAATTATTTTAATTGCAAATGAACATAAATCATAAAAAATGATTAGCTTAATTAAGGGTATAGACATGCAGTGTTGAATTCATTTATTAAGACAGATACGCTTTTTTTCGCTTGAAAATGCACATTTAAGCTGAGCCTTGTACCCCCTGCTACTCCTTTATTAATACATGAAGGCCCTTCGCTCGAGAAGCCACGGAGCTGAGTGACAGGATCACATTATCATCATCTCCTTGGTAATAAATTGTGTCATTAATTTATGCTCCACTGAATACACTGATGAGATATATCAACTATCTCTGTTTTCCCTCATTGCCCTCTCTCCTAAACAGGAAACTCAGCACTTTAAGTGCCGTCAATAAATAATTGGTGTTAAATACAACCTTTGATAGTAAATAACACAAATACCGCCTATATGCTTTAGAAGCCACAATGAGAACCACAATGGGCCGGATTTATCAAGCTCCAATTTTGCGTGCAGTAATTTGCGCTCGCAAACTGGAATTTTGCGCGAGGGGCTGAACCATGGTTTGCGGGTGATTTAACAAGAGCGATTGCGTAACTGGTGACAGGTGCAAAACTGTTGGAGACGCCCTATTTAAATGATGGTTTTGCATGTTTTGTGGTTTGCGGCACGGCGAGTTTGGACAGCAGAAGGCGCAAAAGGAAATTCGACCCCATGGAAATGGAGGTGTTGGTGGATGAAGCCAACAAACATTTAAGTGAGCTACAGCAAAGAAGTGTG